TCAACGGTGCATACCAGCTGGGTTCTTAAACCGGATTAACTTTTAAACGCGTTTAGTTGATCGCGATTAGGTAGCTTGGCGGTGCATACGGCGGTAAAACTTGTAGTCCTCTCTAAGAATTTGTCAGCTCCGGCATCCGTATGCCATAGCATCGCATTCTCTCCAGTTTGCTACCTGTTGCCCTATTGGGCTAGTTGGTGTCTGGGCCTTTTTTACCTGGATCCCAGATCTTCAGGTGTGTAATTTACAAGATTTCGTAGCTCTTCGTTGGAGTGCCTTCCAGCTTTCTCGAAGTCTTCAGCCGCTTTTCTTATGAGAAACTCTCTTAGTGGCTCCCACTCCAGGTCCCTGTAGATTTGGGAGTTTCTAACAAACCCGGGCGCATCTATGGCCATCCGCAGAAGTTTGTTTTTTGTGGCCTGAAGTCTATTCAAGTGACACTCGGCCGCATATCCCCACGAAGTGTCGCCAGTGTCGGCCTGATTATGGTCCTGATGAGGAGTAGCTTGTTCCTGATACTCATCTGGCTTCTTCGATTAATGAACCTTGCCTTAAACGTGTTCTAAACTGAGATTAATCCCTCGATCTATATTCTCAATCGCCAAAGGTCTAACGTAAAGATAGATACAATGAATACATGTATTCATTGAATCATGGCAGCAAACGGTCATAATTCCACATGTGGCAAATAGATCTGCTTGACTCCGGCCAAGCCAACAACAGATTGGTACGGTGCAAGCCGTTTACTTTAAAGCCGAGCTTAATTTTTAGGTTTCGTTTATGTAAGCTTAGCTTTCATATAAAACGGTGCAAACGGCCCTTAATGGTCGAATGTGAGGTCATAAACGCGAGCCAGTTTTCCCAACTCCTTTTTCATATAATTTACTATTATGGCGAAAGCGTACATGTCAATGATTTTTTACTTTCTAGCACTGAAAATCCTCCCCAGAATATTCCCCAGGGGGATATTTTGTGCTTTCTAGACATAAACGTGCAGTGCACCACATAACACAGAACATACCCCATATATTTTATTATATTTTGTGCCACAGAACACACGTGAGTGCACCACAGAACAGCTCTGCACGTCAGTGCATGCGCGTCTAGTGGCAGCCAATATTTACATGGGCGCCAATCCTGGCGCGTAGTTTCAAAATTTACATTCAGGGCCGTAAATTATTTTTGTAAAATCAATTGAACGAGCATTTTTAAATAAATTGCGTCCAGTATTTTGGCAACTCTGGCGCTGTGTTTCTTCATGGTCATAATTTCTTTGCGAAGAGTTGCAGTTTAAAATTAATTAATAAAAAAAAAATTAATAAAATTTATTTTTTTCGTTAATAAAAACGAGGTTATTAAGTTTACTTATATTTAGATAGCGTTTAATTAACTAATTTTGTTCAGAACGACATTGTAAAAATAAGCTTGGAAATGTTTACATACATTTATGCAAATATACGAAGATAATTTAAAATCTAAGTTAATTCATCATTTTGGAGAAAGGCATGAAATAGCTCCACTCGAAGAATCAGGAAATGCCATTAAAGTGCATGGCAGTAGGTTTGTAAACGTCGTGGAGAAAGATACGCTACACAGTAAAAAGGTGGATAAACAAACGCAAATCTTGTCAGTAAAAAAAAACTTGCTAAGGGAAAGCTCGGTCGAAGAAGCCTAGTAGTATGACTCAAATACAAATTACCAGTAATATATAACAAGTTAAACAAATACTGAAATATTCAAATTCATTTAAATATACTCCTTCTTCAAGACGCACATGTAAATTTTGAAACTGCGCGCTATTCATCAGGGACAGAGCTGTCACGAATGGCGCTTACGTAAATGTTGGGGTTACCACTAGACGTGAGTAATTCACTCTTCTGACACTCAGTATAATAGTTTAATAATCTGTGCCATTCTTATTCGTACTCGCTAAAGAAGTAGTTGTCTCTCTACTCGCATCTGCATCCCATGTGATCGCGGTTTATTCGACATTTTCGGCGTAATCTAGAACAAGTCTTTGATTTGTGACAGGGGATATACAAAGATCGTCAAGTAATTTGAATGGGTGAATGTTTAGATTGCCGAGCTCCTTACTGTTATCGGCACGACCAATTTTGGAAGAAGCATTCTAATTTAAGGCAGATGAGAATTACGTACTCATAAACAGACTCGCGAATATAAAGATTTAAGGAAATTCTCCCTTACCTAGTGAAATTGTGTGGCAACTAGAGTTCAGCAAAATAGACCCAATTTACTATCAGTGTTAGTTTGAAGAGTATGGTTTCATCCGGCTACTAGTAAGTGTTTTCTTACATTTGGGTTAGAGCTGCCCAGTGGAAATTAAAGTGGGATACCGATCACCTTGTATGGGTAAGTGAAAAATAATAATGGTAATGTCGCATAACTACTATAACTAAATAGACACTAGGTATTGTAACATTATCTAATCTAAATAACTGAAGAGTTGAAGACTTTCGAGAAAAGGACGATAATTTGATAGTCTCTAACCAACAACTACAATTATAGGAGTTGTTGCTCTAACGCGAGCAGGATATGTTCTATTTTTTAATTTACTTTAAAAAAAGACAAAGTCGTTAGTATAAAACGAACCAAATTTAATTCAAAGCAGGTGATCTTTATTTTCTAGTGAAAAGAAAGCGTATAACGTGGTATATACAGGGTTATTCACGCTATACGGCACGGACATTTGCGGCTAGCCCGTTTGTTTTTGCAAAGTATTATTTGATGAATCCACAGACGACTATCGGGTGCACATTTTAAAAATATTTTTGTAATGTACAGAGTGTCCCAAAAGCCCTAAAAGTAAAAGTTGTGTTTTTCTAAATGAAATACCCTATATATTATTGCATTTTTGGATTCTCTGAGCAAAATAAGTGTTTGTTTTAATAAGGTTTATAATGTCTAAATCTAAAGGTTTTTTAAATAATTCGAAT